CTGTTCGCGGCCAAGACAAAAAGCCGGTCCCTGCTTCTGCTGTGCCCTTTTCTCGCCCGCCGCGTCGCCCGGCCCCACCTGCCTGCTCTTTCCTCTGAGGTCCCCCTGCGGAGTCAACTGCGGACCCGGCCTTAAGGGAGAGCGGCCGCGACCGCGGACTCCGGTTCTGTGGCGCCTGCATGATGCGGAGCGGCTAACGATTCTCCCCTCCGGCCCGGCCCGGCCCGCTTTTGCTTCTGCGCTGCAGCTGAAAACAGAATTTAGCGTTTCCTGAAGACACCTGCAAAAGAATGAATAAGGCAGCAGCAGCAGCAGCAGCAGCAGAATGTGGCGCCGCCGGGGACGAGGCGGGGGGCAGGATTTGCGCACGATCATTGTCACCCAGTTGCTCATCCAATCTCTGTTCAATTAAAAAAAACAAAAAACACCAGAGTATTTGCTGGGATATCCGAAGTTAGAAAGAAGCTGTAAACTTCTACCTGGAGTTGTAAAGGGGTGCAGAGTTACCAATCTGAAGCCATTTCCTCAGTCGCTAATGATTCGATGCCATGTCGAGCATCTGCTACGATAAAAAGCCTGTTCTCATTACTGGCACAGCTTCATCCCACCATTCCTGTGCTGATGTACGACGCCCTGCTAGCCGGGAAAGAGCTGTGGGTCTGATCTGAAAACATGCATCATTTCTGGTCTGCATTTCTTCATTTAGCTTCCACTTCCATGTTTTCCCATAGCATGGACTCATGGCGTTTTAAGGTGAAGTTTCCCTGGGATTCCAGATGCTGCCTGGTAGTTTTCTTGAAATAATACAGAAGTGGTTTGCTGTTGCCTTCTTCGGAGATATTTTTCAACTTCCCAATTTGTTTTACAGCTCTGGCATTTCCAGGTAGTCTCTCATCCAAGTACTAACCAGGTTTGACCCATCTTATTTTTGCAAGATTGGCTTCATGCTGCCACCTGCTGGGGCCCAGGTGAGCTATGCAACCCCAGCAGCTTTTAAGTAAAAAAACATCAATGCCTTGCTGTCCTCACCTAACTTTCTCTTAGAGTAGCTGCATTTTTGCATGGCTCTTAATAAAAGTCTAAGGAAACAGGAGGCATCTTTATTCATTTAAACACATCAGTGTGTTTTCTGATGTGTAGGGGAATTAAAACATTTAAAATATGTTCAATGATTTTTCCACATGCCTTTGCTATTATAAACAGAGTAGGAATATTTATTGTCTATAAAAAACAGAAGATTTATGGTTCTCTAAACAGAGTATGCTTCTCCAAGCATAGCAAGAGAATAAACATAACAGTCCAGTGAAGAGCATCTAGGTCAAAATAAATAGAAAAGATATAAAAACAAAATTGTGATTGGTGTCTTCTATAGACCATCACCTCAAGGAGAGAATGTGAATAATACTTCCCTGAAGGAGATTACAGAATTGCAGAGAAGAATCATTAGTAATGGGGAAATTGATTTATATCTGCTAGCATATGAAATCCATTGAGCATAAAATCTCCCACAAATATGTGACATAATTAATAAAGTATGTCCTTTTAAAGAAAGAGAAAGGAAAGTAATTTGCTCTCCCTGACTTTAGCAAGATATGGTTAATCAAGTTAAAGTACTGTGAATTAAAGATCCTGTCTTTGTAATTCTGAAATTCACGATCCTGTGGAAATCGGTAGATGCTGTTAGTTTTCTTGTTGTGTTCTGCAAAAGCACCCAAGCTTCAAACATGTGTTTGGATTTGGTTCCATTTAGGAATCACATCCTGATTTCCCTTGCTTATATTTAGGTATGAAGCTTTAAATAGGATGCACGCAGCACACCAATATTATATACAGCAGCTTCACAGGGAGATGCAATGTTTAGAAGAAGGTTGGCACTGAAGGCCAAACAGAAAGCCACTGAAGCTTAGTGGGTGACAAAGACTGCCATTTAGGAGGTTGTGAAAAAAAATATGGAGATTTCCTCACAGATGTCAGCTGAAATTAAAATACCTTGGGAGCTACCAGCCTCATGTTGTTGATGGTATCCTTTTTCCTCTCCCGACAAAAGCCCGGGGAAGCCTAAAGCAGCCAGAAAGGCAGCCCCCCACCTCCCCAATCCTGGAGTTATAAATAGCACTAGCCGAGCTATGTTAGATTCGCGGGACTCCGTGCTTCCCTGAGCAATGGAAAGTCTGAGGCAAAAAATACCACTATAAAAATAAAACCCCAGGGACCCTGGGGAAGAATCCAGCACAGGATTGACAACAGGACGTCTTCTCCCCACCATAGTAGATGGCCACTGCTGCTGAGGTTGACACTCACCTTGTCTCCTTCAGGCCATTTGAGGCTCCAAGTCAATTTTGGGATGGAGCAAAGCCACGCGGCTGCAGGGTTTCACGACTGATTCCAGAGGGACATGATTTCCCTGCTTCTGTTTAACATCTGCAAAAAGAATGGGGAGCGTTATCACGCAGCTTGGCTTCACTTGAGGGAAGTATCAAAGGTCATCTGTGAGCAAAGGGCTGTTTCACCGGCAGGGCAGATTTCTACAAGAACCATTAGGAG